GGCTTCAGTAGAGCTGTGAGCAAGGGATTCAGGAAACTTCCCAAGCTCCTTCAGGAACCTTTCAGGGTTCATCAGGTGCCTGGGGTGGAACCATCTAATAGGTTCCGCCTCCCTGCGGTGAGGGGTAGCAGTATGGAAGTCAAGCCTCACGAGGAAATGATCCGACCATGACAAGGGTTGGATAGAAATATCCCCTAAATCTAGATCATTCATCCACTGCCCAGAGACAAAAATCAGGTCAAGCGTGTGTGTCCCATTATTATGGTCTGTGGTTCACATAAGTTGTAGTGATGTTTTTCAATCTATTCAGTCCCTAGCTATAAATTTCAATTTAGTACATCTAGACATGTTAACAGAATTGAAAGGAAGAATGTTCTAAATTCTAAGGTAATGCTTACATCATCTCTATATTTTGACTTATGAATTACCACTGCTTTGGAAGGAACAGTGGTTTCGGGCTTCCGGATGTTGAATTCGGGCTTTGGTCGATTTTGTTCTTGAAGATTTTTCCATTCATCCAATGTCATCTCTTGAACTACATCATCCACTGGTTCTCCTTCAGCAATTCTAAGGATTTATAGTTGTAAAGTAAAAACCATTAGCCTGTGAAATGCCAGTGAGAGAAAGGTAGACCACATCTTAAGTGAAAACAGCTACTTGAATTTCTGTAGAACATTAAATGGTTCCTTGATGGGTTACCAAGTTTGTAGAAATGCCAGTAGCTTGTAGAACTTCTATTCAATGCTCCAATCAGTCAGGTCTGCTTTCTTATAACATATTCTAGTTCCTATCCACTCCAAACCAGATATTCAGTATTTGTAGTTGACCATATGATTAGGCTGCATAGGGCTATTTTGGTATGGTTGGGAGACAAAAATTTTCCTCAGTAAGATGCTTGTCTTCTATCCCCCATTTTTATATTTTTAGATCTTTTCTAAAGATGTTTTTTCTCAACAAACTCTTTTGATAATAAAGCTATAAGGACTTTGCTCCTATTACATTAAAAGGAAAATAAGCACTTTGAACACAGTACATTGCAAACTACATTCTGGTTTAAGTTTTTGAAAGTATGTGGGGACTCATAACATAATTGCCATGGCATGAGGGCTTGCTTATTCAAACACTGATTGGTTTTGTAAACATAGCTAGACATAGAAAATAAAGGAATTGGGTTACTCCCCTTCCTCCTACGAATACATCACTTAAACCAAGGGTGTCCAACCGTGGCAACTTTAAGAGTTGTGGACATCAACTCTCAGAATTCCCCTAATCCAGCATGACTTAAACTGTTTTCTTAGCCAGCTGTATACATTTCCTAACAAAGCAGTTGTTGAAGACAGAGGGAGATCAGGCTGACCAAGATGATGATGCCACAGAAACTACTTTGAGGTGTACCAGATTCATTCATTCAAAAATGAAATGAAAGCAATGTAGAGGGATGAGCTGACAAAGGTCCATAGTACATCATGTTGCCTATAGCTTAAGTAGAATAGCACCTATAAATATTTGCAACCTAGAATGTGGTTTCTTGCTAAACCCAATATCTGTTACTGATCAATGATAGTAAATTTAAGGCCTAAATTTGGTAAAGGAATGTATAGAGCTGGTCAAGGAAAAACCTATTTAGATCACATATCTACTCTATATTTTGTTGGGTGTAAATTACACTACAGTTTTGCTATCTGCTTCCTGCATGTCTTCTGAGATCAAATATGGTTTGAATACATGCTCAGTCTAAACTGATTGTAGCAACCCTGGTGCATAATCTCCCTCATTTAGCAGGCTGAAATGTTAAGGTCTTCCATTACACTCCTCTGGCAGCCTTCCTCAACCTAAATCCATCTAGAATTTTGAGGAACACAGATTCAAATTTTCACTTGCTTGCAAAACTCACTGAGCTAATCATTCTTTTTCAGACTAATATACTTCCCAGAGGTGCTGTTTGAGAGATTGGGAAGTTTCCAATAAACAATGTACTTTAAATACTCAGAAAAAGATGTGATTATAAATGTAACAACTGAGTAAGCTGCTTAATTTTACTATAGAAAATTCAAGGTATAGGATCAAGACTAGTCTCTATTACTGAATGGATAGCTCACACTAGAGACAGATCCCTTTCTTGAAATTAATTCAAAATAGATGTTAGTCTGTTTTATTAGCCTGCTTGCCTGTCTCATACCTCATGAAAAAATAAGGTCAGACATTGTCAAACAAAAGAATAATCCATTTTTACTCCAAACTATGAGATCAATATATCCTAATGTGTACGTTTTCTAGAAAAGTATATTAAAAAACGTATGTGATTCTGGATGATATACAGTCTAAATTTAAAATAATATTAGAAGTACAAACATTTTACACCTATGGCAACAATTCTGTTATCTATCCAGTTCTAACTTAATTTGTAGGGAGAGCAGAGTTTTCTTCTAGGGTTCTTGCTATTCTTTTTCTGAAATATTCTTTTAAAACCATATTGTTACCACACAGAGTTCAATGATGGCAAAAAGGCAATATAAATACAGGTTAAAACAAAAAGACTTCAGTGAAGGAATGAATGAGATTTAAAAAATCAAGGAAATATTTGCTTAAAATCTCATCCCTAATATCTAGGTTAACCTAGATCGTAGATTTAGTTTATCCAAGAAAATTATAGCCCACTAGTTATTTGACAACATGTCATTAGCAGCTGGCAAAGCCTGATGTAAACCATTACTAACCACCTGGGTAAACCACAACATATTTTTCAATCATTCCAACAATTCCTAAAGATGGGCTGAAATCATTAAAGCACTGTTATAATGCCCCAGAATCAATTCCATTTTTTAATGGCCATGCTGAGATCAGGTCCATTGGCACCCAGGTGGAATAAACCTCCAAGCAAAAGGCCAGATCTTCTGATAAAGATTTAAGGAGCAACAAAAGCCAGATTGTCAAACCAGACCATACTTCATTGGAGGTTCTCCGTCGGGTGCTCCTGAGCTCTCTTCTGTTTCTGCAGTCTCTTCCATAGGAGCAGCCTGTTCCAGCTCACTGTAGAAAATTGAGAAGCACAGGTGAAATACAAATGCTACACTAGACAGGATTCCTCACACGGCCTAAACAAAAACAAAGTTTCTCACTACAATCTGTCACATCACCAGACTGGGAAAGCTGCTTCAGAGCTTTGGGATAGATTCATAGAATATGAAAGTCTGCAAGTAGCATGTTGCATTATGCACCGTATGAATCTGAGTAGAACTATGTCATTAACAGAGGCTACACAAATTTCATCACATAAAAACCCAGAAAATGCATGCCCATGCTCTTCTTCCTTAACCCATTCCTGTGCCACAAAGCCAACAAGGAGATACAAGCATTTAGCTTCTGTCCCTGATCTTTTTCTAAGGTATTTACCACTGACCAATATAGATAGAAGTCATTTTTCTATTTAAATTTCGATCATTTCGTTTCCCCACAAACATAGGCATATGCAAATCTTTACTTTTCCTTCATGGATTACGATCTTTAAAATGATCTGAGCTGGAATTTGAGAAAGTCATCTGTCTTCAGAAATTGAGATAAAGGGTATTTTTTTCCAACTCCTGATTGAAAGAAGATTTAATGTGAACCCACACACACAAATCTAACCACAAGGCTACGTCCTTTTATTACAGGAACTTCAGGTTTTTCAGTGGAGCAAGACCTGACATGTCTTCCTGTTCAAATCCTGCTTGCAAACGATTAAGAAGAAAGCATCCAAATGTTAGTTTCTTTCTCAGTTCTTATAATCTAAGAGAAAAAAGAGACAGCTCTGCCAAAGCCCCTGGAAAAAGAGGCCTTGGGGAAAAATAAATTCTGCACTGTTTAATGCAGCAAGATTAGTCTAGACGAGTGTTTCAACATAAAAAAGGAGGTAAGAGACGGTGGAGGCAGGGTCAGAGTAAAGAAGGAACTGCCAAAAGCTCAAGTTGGATCTAAGGTGAGATAATTAAGGAAATTCACAAATAATTTTTGCATCGTTTCCTTCCCAAGTGGTCTTCAGGGTGTTACATTACAAACCATCCTATACCTGGGAAGGTGAAACTATCGCGAAAACTATTTGTCAGGGCACGCAAGGCGTTGCCCTGTCAGCTGGCCAGCATGCATGCGTGGGCTAGCCAGCTGAGTTCAGCCTTTTTTAAAGCCATTTTTCGCCCTCCCCAGGATCCTGAGGTTTTATAGGAGTCTGGGGAGGGTGAAAACAGCACCCCCCCAGAGGCCCTCTGGAGGTTTCAGGAACTTCCCTGAAGCCTCCGGAGCACAAAAAACCAGCCCTACGGGCAAACGGAAAGTTTGGGAACGGACTTCCCTTGTAGGGACGTTTTAAGCCTCTTGAGGCTTCCCTGAAGGATCCAGAGGATGAAAAACGACCCTACGAGCAAACCGGAAGTCACTTCCAGTTTGCACACAGGGCTGTTTTTAGTCCTCCGGAGCTTTCAGGGACTTTCAGGAGGCTTCCCTAAAGGCTCCAGAGAATGAAAAACAACCCTATGAGCAAACTGGAAATCTGTTCCCAAACTTCCAGTTTGCCCATAGGGCCATTTTTTTTGTGCTCCTGAAGCCTCCGGAGGACCTCCGGGGGGTGGGGGGAGGCTGTTTTCGCTCTCCCCAGGCTCCTATAAAGCCTCTGGAGCCTGGGGAAGGGAAAAAAAAGCATGGAAAAAACAGGGGTCGCGCCTGTCATGCACATATGCACGCTGGGGGTGGGTGGGTTCACACATTGCATTATGAATGCGGCATGCCCACGCACAACCCCCCCCTGCACACGAGCCAAAAAAGGTTCACCATCGCTACCCTATACATTTCATATTATTCCGATGTACACTGAAAACAACTTTTCAAAACAATAGGAAGGGGACAGGGTACTTCTCTTTAGTCAGCATCCAATAGTTAAAATAGGTATCTTTAATGTTATGGAGATATGGAAACGATGCCCTGGAAATTACTAACACATTTCTCATACCTCATATCATCCTTAGCAGTTCCCCAGTTACGTGGTCCATTTCCGCCCCTTTTATCTTCTGCACGGACTCCTCTGTAGATAGAAATTTCACTTGTCTTAGAAATTAAATTATGTATATTCATAGAGCTATACAGGTTTTTACCAGTGTGATATCACTTCCCAAGCAGGTGTGTGAAATTCCACTCCCAGAATTCTGCAGCCAACATTTGAGAATTTTGAGAGCTGAAGTCCATGTCTGGAGATTATCCCCAAGAAGCAGAGCTACAAAAGATTAAATTTTACAAAATTATCAACATTCCCATCAGATTTACTTAACACTCCTTATTATGAAGCCATTATTTATTTTGTAAATATATAACTCCTTTTTGGGACCAGCTGTTTCCAGGACAGCAGCCAACAGTTATTAAAAAGCTTTACCCATTAACGAAACAAATACATGTAAAAAAAAATAGAAGTCAATCAATTACAAGTCACAGAACAGCAAAGCCAATTTTCATGCCAAACTCCTGTCTGAATATAAATATTTTGTTTGTTGACAAAACGATAATAACACAGGGAGCCAACCAAAAGCACATATAAAATAACACTTACGTTTTGTCACTCCCGCTCTGCCGGTCAAATTCCCGCTTCCCTCTTTGATCAAAGCCATTGAAGGTCCTGTTCATACCACCTCTTCCTCTGCCCTGCAACCCACCTCTTCCTCCCCCACGACCTCTCATTGGCCTTTCCCGATCAAAGCGCTCTGTTGGTCTAAAAACAAAATGAATCATCCTTCAGTTGTTTACTAAATCAAAGATAATATTATCACACCTTGGTCCTTAAATCAATTGTCATTATCTAGCATAATGAAAGTCATTTTCAATAAGCTGTCAATATTCCAAATGCAGCACTGAACAAGTTTGTAATTTCAGTTCCTTCTTTCATTCTGCCCTTGAGAGATTCCGCAGGTTAGAATCTCAACACTAGAACATTCCTGGTACATTTACAGGTAGTCCTCAACTTACAACCACAATTAAGCCCAAAATTTATGTTAAGTGAGAAATTTTGAGTTTTAATCCACTTTTTTTTTCTTGCCACATTTGTTAAGTGAATCACTGCAGCTGTCAGATTAGTAACAAATTAGGATGTTAACTGATTCTGGTTTCCTTATTCACTTTGCTTGTCAGGAAGGTCAAAAAAAGGGATCATATGACTCTGGGACACTGCAACCATCATAAATGTCAGTCAGTTGTCAAGATTCCGAATGTAAATCACATGACCATGGGAATGCTAGAACAGAGGGAAAATGGTCATGTCACTTTTTTCAGTGATGTTGTAGCTTTGAATGGTCACTAAATGAACTATTGTAAGTCAAGGACTACCTGTTTAGAAGAGCAAGCAATAAACAGCCCTACTCCCACATTAAACCATAGATAATAATAAAAATAGATACCAATTTTAAATAAAAATTGAACTACTAATTATGCCAATTGCAAAGCAGCTCCCAGCTCACAATAGCATACTTCTATCTTCAAAGCTTTCAATCCTAGTATAGAATCTCAGATTTGTACCAATATCAAATTTAATTTTTTCCATGTATAGACTTTATTCAACTTTATAGGAAACTAGATTCATGGTATTAAATTTATTACATCTTATAATTTTAGCCAATGATTTATATTTTGTGAATATGGCTCCTAATATGTTAATTTTAGCTTAAAGCTTAATAGTGATGTTTAAAATTTTGTGATAATACATGTTATAATTTCATAAGCAGCAATTAATGATATATTAGAAAACTAATCTTCCTGACACATTAGATCCCTTGTTTAGTTTGTATTGTAGTTTGTATTGTAGTTTGTAATCTTACTGTTTGTATTTACCTTGATGTACTTTTTATATGACTTTTTAACAGATAATCCTGGAGTTAATACCAGTCATTCAGCAACCATTCAAAGTCATGACAGCACTGAACAAGTACTACTTATGACAGGTCCTTGACATTCCAGCTGTTGTAATAATCTTGCTGTCATGATTGTGATCTTTATACTTGATTAACCAGCTTGTACTTATGACAGTTGCAATGTCTCATGGTCGTGTAACCACCATTTGCAACCATCCCTCACCATTTCCCACAAGCAAAGTCAATAAAGAAACTGGCAGGAAAAGTCACAACCTGTTCGCTTAAGTTGCCCCCAAGAAAGCCCACTAGGGATCTCATACTCCATAGCACCTGCCCACTCACACTCCACAGCATGCATCTCTGGCTCTCACTGACCCACCCACATTCCATAGCACCCATCCATGATTCCTAGCCATTGTCTCTAATACCTGCCTCACCCCCACTCTGTAGCACTCACATGCTCCTTGTCTGGGACTCCAACCTCTTCCTGTTTAACAACCTGTGAAGTCCTGGAATTACAACGGCAATTGCCAGGATTATTGTCACTAAGTGATGTGGTCACATGACATCGCAGAACAAAAGTTCTCGTCCCAATTGCTGTCATAACCCTAGGACTATCTTTATTAACTGTTCACATTGTTTAAAAAAAGTTTAATGTTTCTTAGTTACTGACTTTACATTTTCCAAATTTACAATGTATAATAAATCCTTCAATATCACATACCTTTCTAGTGTAAACTCTGCTTGTCTTTCCATTTCATGAGGACAGTATTCTCTAAAAGGTTTCCATTCCGCTTTATCTTGTTTTATCTCCGTACCTCGGTTTTCATTCCAACCCTGTTGTTCTCCTCTTTTTGGAGCTCGCTTTTGGCCTGTGGAAAACCAACATATTTAGATTAGTGGCATTAGTTATATTTAAAACAGGTGTAATTGCTCCTTGTTTATTATAATCACCCAATCCTATTGGTTTTAATGCTATTTTATTTCTGTTCCAATCAATATCTTAGATCATAAGGCAACTGAGAGCAGCAAATATACCAGTGATAGAGAAATTCCTTGGAAATTTCAATATTCAACAACAAAATCACACTATCTATCTATTGCTGAATCAAATAACTTTAAGTTCACTATATAGGTAGTTAACAATGAAAACGTGGACTGAAATTTTTATTGTTAAACAAGGCAATCATAAAGCATAACTGCCTTTCTTAGCAATCCCTCCAGTCTCTACTTAAATGGTGTTTGTGAGTTGTTAAGCATGGATCTTCTTGCAACTTCCCACTGACTTCCAACAAGAAAAGACATTGGGGAAACCAGCAGAAAGTTGCAAGTCCCACGCAGCTTGCAAGCAGGCCAGCAGGCTGATTAATGGGTGCTGCCGAGTGGAGAGGGAGCAGAGAGGATGTGCAGCTCAGGGACATGGCTTGAGAAGGGATCAGGAAGAATGCAAGAGGGTATGCAAGTGCAATAGAGGCGTAGCACAAGCACAGCAAATTTCAAGAATAGTGCATAGGGGGTATGTAAGTAGCTGGGAAAACAAGGCGCAGGTGCCAACCTTGGAGTGGATGTGCAAAGTGCATGAGGGGTCTATTTGAGAAGGTTGCATAGGGGTGTGCAAGTAGGTGGGAAGGCGTGGCAGCAGCACAGCAAGGCTTATGAAAAGTGCACAAGGGTGGCATGGGTGCATGGATAACTGTCAAGATGCTTTATGAGTGCAGAGTTGCTGGGAGAGACTTAACTAAGTGACTTGTGAATTCCAGCTTCCCCATTGACTTCTTTTCTGGAAAGCCAGCAGGGAAGATGACAAATGGTGATCACATGACTATGGTATACTGCAATTGTCATAAACATGAGCCATTTGCCAAGGGCTCAGTTCATATTCACATGACCATGGTGATGCTGGAATGGCCAGAATTTCAAAGACCAGATGCAACTACCACTCATTTAGCATTGTCATAACTTCAAGAGATCACTGAGTCTTTTAATCAAATAGTTGTGTGTGTGTGTGTGTGTGTGTGTGTGTGTGTAACGGGCACACTTGAGGCCTATGAGCTATTTTTTTTACAGAAGAGAAAACATATTCCCAATATGTTGCTTTAATTTTATAGCAGATGCAAGGATGTTTTAATAAATATAAAAGATCCTTCATGGATTAGAAATATTCAATTTATATGCAAATGTTGATGATATTTTGTTATTTCATCATTCATGTAAATATTTGTTTATTACAAAACATATATCCCACCTCATGTGGTAGATTCAGTGTGGATCATAGTCACATTAAAATAACAACTATAGTGAACATCAGTATATAAATAGAATTCTTCAAAAAAAGAAGAAAAGCTCATGTTAAAACTAATAATTGTATCTTTGCTTCTTATATTTAATGTCAGCATATTTTATTAGAATTGATAACATACAATTCTGATATGGTTGTACTATCATTTGGTTTTAAAATACATTGTTCATTATGTAGCAAATATCATGCTCAATATAACAAATAGGATCTTCTGTTATGTAGGCATTAGATCAGAATACAGCTGTGTTCATTAAAGCTAAAATGTAAGTTAGATGAAAATTAACTCTATAGAATGCAAAAAGATAGCAGAAACAGACTTTAATACAAGCATAACAAATTTAAATGAAGATTAAAAATCCAAAGAATAAAAGTATAGAGTAGTAGCATTTGGCAGATCTGTTTAAACGTTATTGCATAACATAATTCCATATATTTATTCATTGAGATATTTTGTTTGTCAAGTTGTATAAAGTACTGCAATTATAGTTAGAGCTCTTTTAGGGTTATTATTAAAAGTAATACTAAGAAATGGCCCAGCAGATGTACTTCAATCTATGGAACAGGCTCTCTGATGATTTGATAAATATATGATAAATATTATTTAGCTTAATTGGGTAATTTACAGATGGGTAGATTTCAACTCCTAGAATTCTCTGCCAAACCTACACTGGCTAGGAATTTTAGTAGTTGTAGTACATGCTTTTGGAGGTTTTGTTAAAGTTTTAAAATTGTAGTCACTTCTTCGTTTCTGATCAAAGTTATTCTCTATAAATTTTAAATTACAAATAATAATATAAAACCCTAGGAAACCTAGAAACCAGCAGACTGAGTTAAAATCTCGCCTTTGTCATGAAAGCCAACTGGGTGACTTTGGGCCAGTTACTGTCTCTCATCCCAACTCACCTCAAAGGGTTGTTGCTGTGGAAAAAATAGGAGGAGGAGGAAGTATTCGGTTCACTGCCTTGAGTTATTTATAATAAAGGTGGAATATAAATAAATAAATAAAATTAATCTAAACCTAACTTTATGAAAATGTCCATTCAGAAAATATTATCTTTTCTTTTCCTATAAACACATCAACCTCAAATATCTTTTTTCTCTTTCTCAAGTTAATTTCTGAGAAAAAAACAGATGTACCAAAAGCAATTTTACAAGCGAAGGAAAAATAAGATCAAATCAACTAATGTTCTTCGTTATCTACAAGAAACTCAGCTTTGATAGATGGTTTCAATTTGGAAACCAAGCGCAGAAAAAATGAAGGAATGATATGTGCATTGTGACATAGTGTGCATTTTTATAAACTCAACATGGCTCTGAAGACAAAGTGGCTTTATGCACCACTTTCACATTACCTTTGGGAAAAGTAAGATAATTTGTGACAGGAAAGCAGCTAGTTTATACCAGTTTGGATTTGAGAATTCTTAAAGAATAAAAACAAATGTAAGTGCTTGATGCATTATTTAGACCATATTGTCTTGCCTGCAAAAATTTGTGAAAAATTCATGAATTGCCAAATAATACAGACTTCAGACTACAACTGCAGAAACTTTACCAAATGAAAACAATTAGTTTTGCATGATTCTACACAGAATCGTTAGAAAAAGATTTTGTAGCAACATGATAGATTCCAGTACAGGAAGTTATCAACTTGTACATTTAAAGAATGTAAAATTAAACCTACATAATTCATCATGCCATTTATAAGAAGTCTTTTACATGGGCTAATTAGCTCTCAAAGATAAAGAATGAAATAGGTTGTCGGTAGGAGTTGCTGCTGCTTATCAGCCATCAACTCTTTTGTAGGATTGGCTAAGCAACCTTCAGCCCATTTCTTCCTTAAAAACATCATTTTCAACCCTTTCTATCAAATATTTATTTTATTTCTTTAAAAAAAAAACACAAATATTTCATCATTTGTCAATCATTAAGGTTTTCAACCCTTTCAACTATCCCAAAACACATACATTCAGGGATGTCCAGTCTTGGCAGCTTTAAGACTTGTGGACGTCAACATCCAGAAATCCCCAGCCAGCCAGTTGAAGTCCACAAAGTTGCCAAGGTTGGATACCCCTGCTCTAAACTTTAGTCTTGTGAATTTTGTAGACTCTAAAAGCCACACATGCTGGAGAGGCTTAATGAACCCTTCACTTTGTGTAGAGACCACAAACTCTCTTCCTATAGAGCCAACTATCCATATGCTATTCAAAAGATTGTCAGACCCTGACTGGAAAAAATATACAGTTCTGCTGACTTGGTATACTGTGGTTTACACCAAAATGTGCACATATCTTAAAGAACAGCCTGTGTTCTTATTCCTTGTTCATTTTAGTTTTTGCCTCAATACCCGGAGATACGAGAACAAAAACTGCCAGTTCAGGTGTATCTTTTAACTAATATACCTCAATTTAATTTCCATGAAACTTACTAGAGCTTTGGAGAACTTGAAATTCAAAGGATAAAAGACCATTTGGATTGCTTGAGGGTGCAGATGTCTCATCTGTTTGCAATTCCTTAAAGCAGCTGTCATTTGCTCTACTCTATACAGCCAGTTTAGTGTGATGGTTAAGGTGCTGGCCTAGAAACCAAGTGACTGAGGATTTTAGGCCTCCTTTAGTCATGAAAGCTGGTTGGGTGACTTTGGGCCACTCTCTTTCTCAGCTTAACCCACCGCATAGGGTTGTTATTGCTGTCAGTAAAACAGGATGCAGGAATATTAGGTATGTCCTGTGTGTGTGTGTTTGTGTGTGTACGTATACACACACACAGTATAAAAATGGAATACTAATATGTAAGTATTGTGCTTAGATTTAAAAAACTGCCAAGAGGTGTTGCATCCTTCAGGAGCTACCCCTATCAAATTCAAACAAATGTACAGCCTTACAAATTATTGTAATTCTGTGACAGAAAATCAGTACTGCCACAATAAATAATTTTTGTAAGACAATAGGGCGGAACACAGTTCCTTGCTTCTAAAATCAAGGTGCCTGGGATTCTTCATGTCAAACAGTTTTCAGTGCATCTTGCAATTTCACTAACTCTTGCCATCCTGTATGTATCAGGAAAGTCCTAAGAGTGACATAACTAAAACCTGTGGCACTTTGAGTTTGTTACTATAGCACTAAAGGCCTCATGGAGATGAAGTCAAGGCACCTCATACAGGCCTATAAATATAATCTATGGAGATCCCATCTTTCTGCTTAGTAATATCTCTGAGAGTTTAAAGTATGTGTGTGTGAGTACAGCTAGTCTTTGACTTACAATAGTTCATTTAGTGACCATTCAAAGTTACAACAGCACTGGAAAAAAGTGACTTGTGATCATTTTTTTTTCTTTTGTAATTGTGTCTTTATGTCATGTTCAAGAACATAAATTACATCATTTGCCTAACAATACACATTTTATCTTCATCTCTTCTGAGGATGCCCATGTTAACAGGCAAAATAATATTTTTGAGCTAGTTCAGTTTCTTTCGTTATTTACATATATTTTTCAATTCGGTCGGAGCAAACTGTGATCATTTTTCAGTTACAACCTTTGCAGCATCCCCAAGATCATGTGATCAAATTTCAGATGCTTGGCAACTGACTCATATTTATGACCGTTGCTGTGTCCCAAGGTCATCTGATCCCTTTTGCAACCTTCTGACAAACAAAATCAATGGGAAAGCCAGATTCTCTTAACAATCAGGTTGCTAACTTATTAACTGCAATGATTCACTTAACAACTGTGGCAAGATGAGTTGGAAAATGGGGAAAAACTCACTGAACAAATGTCTCACTTAAGAACATAAACTTTAGGCTCAATTGTGGTCGTAAGTCAAGGACTACCTTTATATAAAAAATACCACTCATTTTTGTGGTTCCTAAGGCACTCAAAACAACACTACTAAAACTATACACTGTGGTTCCCACTAGTACAATAATTCAGGTTCAAGCCAGTGGCATCTGGATACAGTAATAAATTCTTAGGGATTTTATTGGTCCAAATAGCACTATGCTTCATTAATAAAAAAACAATGGAAGAGAAAACTAGTATCCAAATTATTTCTCAAGGCACACATCCTGCTACTTGTCTCCTTTTAACCTGTTTCATTCATATATTTTTTAAAATATTAATCCCCCAAAACACAGACTGACTCCAGGAGACTAGTGAGAGAAGGTCAGGGAAGGCTCTGGCTCTCAAGATGGGAAAGAGTTTTAAATAACAATTCAATTAATGAACGAATCTTCAGTTGCATGAATGTCACTTCAAAACAAAAAAGAAACATCAAAGTATTGTGAAATTGTTTCCACTAAATTAAGGTGACATCACTTTTCCGGTTGGGTTTAAGGCTACGGGGAGCCCCAACCAGTTCATATGTCCCCGCGTCTTGAAAAGAGCCACAACCCCGCTTGGTGGAAAGCGCCTTTCCGCTGATGAAGCGATGGGCGGGGAAGGTTTCGCTATCTAGTGGCGCCGACAAGCCCGGTTAATTACATCTGAAGGCGGAGGCCGAGCGCAACGGCAAGTTAGAGCCGCCCTTCGCTTTCAGCACATGCACCACCTGCAGTAAACGCCACTGGGAAAGCAAACAAATATATATGTATGTATATGTATGTATCTCGGCCAGACGCCACAATAGCTCGCGCCTTTACGCGGGTGAGCCGCCCCGGCCCGCGCAAGAGGGGAATTACGATCTAGCTAGGGCAAGGCCCCAGGTGGCTTGCTCAGCCCGCGTCCCCTCCACTCCGAGCCAGAAAGACTGGTTCGCGGTATTTTCTGGCGAGAAGAGCCGACAACCTTCTGACCGAAAGGCAGAAAAGGGAGGGAAGAGAGCACGTGCGTCCGGGATCTGCAAAAGGCCAGGACCGGCGCGAGCCCTCCGCCTCCGCTCCAAACGGCGGCTGCCCGTCTCCGATACTTTTTTTAAATAACTCATAAACGGGTTCTACTTATTCCTTGCTCGCATTGCTTTGAGCAGACCGCTTTTAACGAACGAAACGCCCAATTAAGTGTGCCTTGGAGCAAATTGTCCATATTAAGCCTGCGGGTCGCCGCTTCATTTACCTAGAAGCGAGTTTCGTGGGAATGAATGAGATTTGCCGGGGGGGGGGGAGAGGAAGGCGCTTCTAATGCTGCAATGCGAGTCGGTGACTCTTACGGGCAAAAGAGGGAGGAGGGCGATCAAAGCGGGCTTGTTTCAAGAAGGAAGCCCGCCGGATTCGGTCTGCACCACTGGCCGCTTTCCCACTCCCGGCAGCATCACCTGCTTTATCACATTTCCTGGTCCACACAAGCCCCCTCCCGCTCCATACCGGGTGCTGGGGGGCTCTCCGACTGCAAGAACGGGGAGCCTTTCCGCTCCTTCTGGGATTCTCTTTTGACAGCGGCGGTGGCGGCAAAGACTCCTCCGGGGCCAGGTTTTCTGCCGGTTGAAAAAGCCGCTTCTTCGCGCTTCTTGCTCTGCTGCTTGCGCTGCTCTGCCTCCCGGAGGATGTCGAAAGGGTCGGATTCATCATCGAGCAGCTGGTGGAAGCGGTTGGCGACGGCGCAGCCAAAGCTCTCCTGCATAGTTGTGGCGGCGGCCACGGGGCTGGCCAGCGCGCCTTTCATTGTCGTGGTGCCGTCAGCCGCCGCCGCAGCAGCAGCACCCACCCCTTCCCGAATGCGACAGAAAGAGGCAAGCTTCCCTCAGCACGGCACAAGTAACCACGCCATGACCACTCGCCCGCCCCGTCCGACTGCACTACCAATCGACGCGCCAGCAATGCCTCCAGCCCTACCTGAGCAACCAATCCAGAGCTCCGTTTTTTATCGTCCTACCCAATAATCAGCCTCACAAACGTGTAACGTCATTAACCAATCAGCACCCGGAATTCTGCCTCACTCAAGCAAAGAAAACACGGGATCCCCACCTCTCAGCAATTTCCCACGCCGCTGGTCGATGACGTAGAGCGTCTGTGGCGTCACGTGTTAGAGTCTTGAGTTATTAGGGTTTTTTTTCAAATATAGTATTATCAAAATTCCGTCTAGTGGGTGCGGGGGAGATTTAGGTGCTGCTTGATTACTATGCTACACTGAATCTAACACTGAAACATCAATGAATCACTCTAAGTGCAGAAGCTGTGATTGGCCGAATGGCTTAAGATGATCTTGAATCTGATGGGTGCTCTGTGAGCCACTTTGCAGACCCTTTATTACCCAAACTAGGTAATAACATTTGAACACTGAGCTACAAATGTTCTCTTCTATTGATATTTAATTTCTCTGGTTTTAGTTTAACAATTACATTGCACTCTGACTCCATGCACATATGGACATATTAATATGCAAGTGGGAAGGGCAAAAAAACCAATACAAATATTGGGTTAAAGTTAGAGCAAGATTAATTTCAAACATAGTGTTATTCAAACTGTTCCCGAATTTATTATTTTATTAAGTTTATATGCCATCTCACTGACAACCGAATCTTACTCAATAATGATGCTGTTACTGTTTCAAGTTTTTACTTTAGGACTTCTCTATTGTTACATTGGCAAAGTAGAATCCATATCCTTCACTCAAACTAATCAAAAGCATTTCATGGTTATTTCATTTTGGATCTAGCAAGAAATGTTAAATAATGTTTTTAGCCACAAGCTTTTTTTAAAAAAAATATACTGGAAATATACACAGTGAGCTTAACTTTCCAGATATATATAGACACTATGGCAACTGAATACTGCCCACATGTCCATGTATTTTCCTTGGTAATATTGAAGAGGCTTCTATTCCCTTTTCCCAGGTTTGATCAATTGACAGATACCAGTTTATCGTACAACACTAACATTTTAGTCATATATTTAATTATTAACAGGAACTGACTCTGCTTAGCTTTTTGAGATCAGACAAGATCAGTTAGGTACTTAAGCTAAGTTATCTTCTTTTATTATGCCAACCAGTTTGGATGATATTTATTCATTTATACAGTTAAAACTCAATTTGAAAATTTGTTGAGAGGAAGGGGTTTCCATTAAAGATATTTCTGTGCATACTTCTTAAATCCATATGTCATTTTGCATGAATGTAAAAATATGAATCAGGCTTCCTGACTCTCCCAAACCAACAAAACCTGGTTTGTAGTTGCCATTTTGTCCAGCACACCCCCTGGCTGCTATGAAGAGAGCCAGGAAGAACCAAGTTACTTGTTCTTAGGGAGCAGGAAAGATTTCCCAGACTCTACAAAATCAAGCCTAAGTCATTTTGCTAAATTGTGAGAATTAAGGAAAGCACCTTGCCACTGCTATTGCATCAGTATCATGGAAGCATATCTGACTGCACCTATCAACACAATATTTTCACTTGCTTTACTGCTTCTAATCTTCCCACTGACACACCCATTCATTCCCTTGATCTTCCCAGAAGCATTAAAAATGCTAGTTGATGGAATTTATTATTTGGGATTTGTCCATTACACCTGAACTATGACAAATTGTAGTATGTTAAACAGATTTTATTATATTTTTATTATATAAAATTTTATTATATAATTATTTATGTCCTGCTCTTTTGAGGTTAGCATGTAAGTCATAACATTTATCTGCAACCAAAATCATAATATAAAATCATAAAAATGAGTTTTTTAAAAGGAAAATCCATATAGTATAAAGTATGTGTATGCATATACATATATACATGTACACGCACATATTTTTCCGGAAATAAGACAGGGTCTTATTTTCTTTTGACACCCCCCAAAATAAGTGCTTGGCCTTATTTTCAGGGAGGTCTTATTATTTTTGAGGTGCAGAAGGTGGTGAGTGTGTTCACCTCATGGCTGCTGCTGTGTTGCGATATTTTTAGGGAGGGCTTATTTTTAGGGGAGGGTTTATTTTAGCACATGTGCTCAAAAGTCTTATTGGGGTTATTATCTGGGGAGATCTTATTTTCAGGGGAACAGTGTGTGTGCGTGGGCACACACACACACGTGCACACACCTTTCCAAATTAAATATAAACAGAAGCATGGGCAGCCTGAGGAAATATATTTTTTGCCATGACAAGGCAAAGTACAAGATCTACCTACCTGCATCTGAAATCAAATACAAAAACAAACACTGATATTTGCCTTGTGATGTCACTGCATGCACATGATTTCATCATTGTGATGACCTGTAGATTTATTAGTGTGGGTTCCTTGATGCTCTGAACTTGTTTTCTTGCAGCTGTTTCATTATCAAACTAGGTAATACAATCAATGCTAGTAGGGAGTGGGGCTGGCTCCCATTTTATATACCCAGGATGGCGAACCTATGGCAAACCTGCCACAGGTGGCACACAGAGACATTTGTCAGGGCAATGCCTCAGCTGTCAGTGCTCATGTGTGTGCTGGTCAGCTGAGTTCAGCATTTCTAAAAGCCATTTTTCGCCCTCCAAAGGCTTTATAGGAGCCTGGGGAGGGCGAAAAGAGGCTCCCCCCCCCCCCCGGAAGCCCTTCGGAGGCTTCAGGAGCTTCCCTGAAGCACAAAAAAATGGCCCTATGGGCAAACCGGAAGTTTGGGAATGGAGTTCTGGTTTGCTCGTAGGGTTGGTTTAAGCCCTCCAGAGGCTTCAGGGACCTTCAGGAGGCTTCTCTGAAGCCTCCGGAAAACTAAAAAGGACCCTATGAGCAAACCGGAAGTCCCTATTTGTTCATAGAGCTGGTTTAAGCCCACCGGAGGCTTCAGGGAAGCCTCCGGAGGGCTTAAACCAACCCTATAAGCAAACCGGAAGTGACTTCCGGTTGTGACTTCCAGTTTGCTTGTAGGGTCTTTTTTAGCCTCCTGAAGGTCCCTGAAGCCTCCGGAGGGCCTCCATGGGGCCAGGGGAGGCTGTTTTCACCCTCCATAGGAGCCTGGGGAGGGAGAAAAACGCATGCAAAAATGGGGGGTGCCTCTCATGCACCCATGCGCACTGGGGGGGTTGTGCATTGCATTATGGGTGTGGCACGCCCATGCACGACCCCCCTGCACTTCCCCCTTATGGCACGTGAGCCAAAAAAGGTTCGCCATTGTTGTTATATACTATTGGCTTGCCCTGTCAGTGTTGGTGGGAGTGGTGGTCTTGATGTTTCCTTGGTTGACCTTGTATTGTTGATGGCTGAATTGTCAGAGTGCCAGGCTTAGAGGAATTCTCTAGCGTTTTTTGACTTGGCTTGGTTTAGGATGTTCTGTTTCCCATTTGAAACTACGGTTATGTCTGTTCATGAGTTTTCATGTCTTATGACTGCTGGTTTGTGTTCATAGATGTGGCCTGCTAGGCTTCTGCCTATTTGTCCTACATACAGGCCACTGGTGGGGTTCAAAAATTTTACTGCCGGTTCTGTGGGCATGGCTTGGTGGGTGTGGCAGGGGAAGGATATGGCAAAATCCCCATTTCCTCCCGATCAGCTGGTACTCAGGAGGCAGAGAATAGATGGGGGCAGGGCCAGTCAGAGGTGGTATTTACCGGTTCTCTGGACTACCCAAAATTTCCACTACCAGTTCTCCAGAACTGATCAAAACCTACTGAATGTCACCTCTGATATAGGCTATTGTAGTCCTTACAATGAATGCTATTAATATTGAAGACTCATTATTACCCGGGTTTAGAATACACACAGATAAGGGGTAAGATTACAACCATAGAGTTGTGACTGCCATTTTTACTTCTCTGCAGACCCTTCTGCAGCATGTTTCTAAAATCAATTGGAGAACAAGTGACTAAATCTCCATCTCCTGCTTTCAAGCAACCCTAAGGCATGATTGGTCAGTATGAAAAATGAAATGGTAAAGTAAGATGGATCTAGCAAGGCAATTTTAATCTTTCTATCATTAGGGGAAAAAACCCTTTTATCCAATAGTAGAGAGCAGCAGGATTAATGTGAGAAAAGATATCAATAAAAGGTTCAGGTATAAATCTTTACGGCTTCAAATCATTATAAAAACTGAAGTTGCTCCAAAACAGGTAAGTAATCATCATTGTATTGGCAAGGCAAATTTTAATATGATTCCGCAAGCACCCAACCAGCTTTTTGACTGTTTTCATTCTGACTCAGTTGCAGTTTCCAAACATTCCTCAAAAGCGGCTCCAAACAGAACACATTCCAATAATCCAATTTTTACATAACCAAGGCATGTTTCAGCAGGCCAGATCTTATTTCAGATATTGACACATTCCGGACAAAGACATTTAATATGCTTGGATGAGAAAGGGTAAGTGTGAATAACTGAGCCAAAAGGATGTCAAGCCTCTCAGACTAGATATCCTTATGGGCCGTGGACAGGTTTCAAAATCAAAGCACACTTGTACTGTTTACGTGGAAGACTTCGCTCCCGTATTTTTTCAGTCTCTTGTGGTAAACCGAACAGCTTCTGAAGTTGCAATTCGTGTTCGCTGTTCCCGCACTCTGCTCTTTAAATAGATCACGTGATTAAGATATCACATGGCACCCCGGCACAGCGCGCCTTGAAAGTTGAGCTTGAGGGATCTTTGGCAAAATCTGGATCCAAACGTCTGCTGCAAAAATGTGCTTGCTGTATATTTTCCCTACCACCAGAAGAGATGCTCCCTCCAGCCAAGTCCTCCCGCTCATAATCAGACCGCTCGCATGGGGAAAGATGGAGGCCAGGCTTTGATGAATACCGGCGGCCCACCTTCCCAGGCAACTTTCGAATTCTGTTGGCTGGTGTCACAAAATGTCAGCCAATGGATTAATCCGAATGCCCCGAAGCCACGCCCAGCACATTTTTTTTCGAAGCGGTCCGCCTTTGGACCGAGGGTAATAGGTGCTGCCTTTTTCAATTATTGGCTGGGAGGGGCTGTCACTCCAATGACGTGTGCAGCGGATTCGACTATTGGTTCCGCCCAGGCGCGAAATGTAACGCGGGAAAGTCTAGGGCTCGGGAGCGGTGGTCGGGGGTTACCGCTGCTGAATGGTGAGAAGTCGCGATTGCTTCCGACAGCCGGGCAGAGACTGCATGGGGTTGGCATCTCCACGAAGGAGTCCTCCTGTCATGCACACCTGAGGCGCTCCTTTTCGGCCACCAAAGAAAAAAGCCAAGGGAAGCAGCCGCCCGGGGTTTACAAGCGGTACCAGCGACCCGCGAATCGAGAAGAAAAAGGATCTCGGACCGACGCAGCATGTCTGAGCTGCCGGGCCCTCCGCCCGTTATCGTCTGTCCGGGAAGCTCTCCGAAGCGCGTCTTGGTCTCGGTCATCAAAACCACCCCAGTCAAGCCGCCGCTCACCAGCAGCGAGGATCCCGCCCACGTGCCCGTGCCGCCGCCACCCATCCCTACCAGCCCGGGCTTCAGCGACTTCATGGTCTACCCATGGCACTGGGGGGAGAACGCGCACAACGTCACCCTCAGCCCTCCTCCGCCCGCCGCATCTCAGCCTCTCCGCGAGGGAGGAGGAGGAGGCAACGGCGGAGGGCTTCGGAGCGCCGTGGAGCGCTCCGCAGGAGACGACGAAGAAGCGGGAAGCCCCGACAGCGGTACTGGGAGCAACGGGCATTTGAGGGTGAGTGAGCCCAGAGAGCGGGCGGGGGTTGTGGGAAGGAGAAGCATGGGAAGCGACGGTTGAAAAGGGCTTCGGTTTAAAAGGAACCTTATTTGGAGCCCGGGGACCCCGCCCATTTCGCTCCCGAGCGTCTCGCGGGGTTGCAGTTAAGTCATTTCCGCGGGTGATTCGCCCCCCCCGATGACGACACCTCCGCGCGCCAAAAACATCCTTTCATTTAAATGTCGGCCGCGAGCGCCGGCGCGCGCAGGTTGCTCCGTCGAGGCGGGTGGCGCGCGTGCTGCCCGTGCTCTTGCCCCCCGATTCTTCCCCCCCCGCTCTTCCCTCATTTAATTCTGGATGGATGCGCTTTTCTACTATGGAATAACTAAAATTTGCGGTAGTTGAGACAGGCTATTTTAAAAGTTGTCACCCCTCAATGTTCCCTCTGAACAAGAAGAAGCGGTGTCATCTCAACCAGAGTTCCTTTATTTTATTACATTTTATTTTATTGTATCTTAAGGGCATCTTATGTCCAGTGCTGTGTCAAAGGAGGTGCAGGTTCTTTAGCATCACAGAAACTAAAGGTTTATGTGTACAGCGCCTGCAATGGATAAGAGCCCTCTGAATTAGGACTGCATCCCATATAATAACTAGCTCTTTATGACTTAAGAAATATATGTTCTTCTCTTTCACACACAATATATACAGTATATATGTGACAGAAGAAAAGATATTTTAAAATAAAATGTACTATATAGTACTTGTTTTAGATTGTTAACAGACTTTTTAATTTACTAGGATGGGATTAGAAGAGGCCGACCAAGAGCAGAGACAGTCCGAGATCTAATAAGCGAGGGAGAGCATTCATCTAGCAGAATACGTTGTAATGTCTGCAACAGAGTTTTTCCAAGAGAGAAGTCTTTGCAGGCACACAAAAGAACTCATACTGGTAAGCGGACTGCATAAACAATATATTTTATTAGACCCACTACTTTAGAATTATTTTTCATGCAACAATTTAGTTCCGGACATGCTGTAATCCTCAGATTTTGAATAAGATGGGACTTGGCAGTGAACACTCATAGATCAAAAGTTATTTACTTCAGTACAATACAATAAGATCTGTATTGCCCATGTTGTTTTGTAACACCTTGAAATAAGGTGAATTGGGATTAGGGTGTCATGTGGATTGTATTTTTCCATTGATAGGAAGAAGCAATAATCACATGAATGTCTTTTTAGTTCCTTAGAATTTTCAGCTATTAAAGAGCTAGCTAAATACTTATAAAGAATAAAGCTGTATTTAATATATATTTAATTTTTCAACTAAATGCATGTGCTTAATTTTCATGAAATTTATTCTGTTCACGCCTTAAAGCTTAATTTGGAATTTTATTTCTTGCTGAAAAATTTTTGTATATAAATACAACATTTTTTCAAGAGGCTGTGATAGGAAGTTTGTTTTACCAAAAAAAAAGTATTTAAATGGTCTAGAAAAAGGATTAACAGCATACTTGCAAAACAAAAACCCCTTTAGTTGGACTGTCTCAGATTTTTAGCATCTTTTCAAACTAATGAAAAGAGTTAAAAAAAACAATGCAGAGATAATCCTCAATTTATAACTACAGTTGGGACCAAGAGTTGAGAACAAACCCATCAGGAGAAGACTCAGCAGTCCATCTGCATTTAAAGACAAATGCCATTCTTGAAGTCAGTAACAGAGGACAACTGGTTTGAAAGAGGGGTCAAAGACACCATCTATGTCAAAATTGAACACCCCTCTCTCGACAGGGGAAGGAATATCACATCTATCCGAAGTCTACAATACCACAGGTGTCAAATTCAATCACGTCATGGGCCGGATTGTGATGTATCAAGATGTTTTTTGCTTTTGCAGAGTCCAGGTGGGCATGGCCTGTACATGATGTATCTGGCCTGCAGGCCACCAGTTTGATAGGCCTGTGCAACACAGTCCTTTCAGCAGTTCCAAGAAGGCTCCACAACCATTTGTACTACTAGGTGATCCTGAGTAAGCAGATAAACCTCAGAGCGGCCTCATCTACACTAAAAGAATGCAAATAACTAGCTATCTGCAAGGAATATAAATCCTTCCATTCCCCACCATCCAGTTACAATTGAAGAAGCTTATTGGATGAGAAGCAAAAGTTTTCAAAGAGAAACAAAGTCCAGTTGCCTCTTGAAAAAAGCACCTTTGACACAGTTGGGACCAGAATTTTGGTCAGTAAGTGATGTGGTCAGTAAGCAAGTCATCACGTGACTGGACTCAATTTTACAACCATTTTTATTATATTTAGAGAGTCACATTAAGTGAATTGCACACACCATTAAGCAAATCTGCCTTCCCCAATTGACTACTTGTCAGAAGCGAGGGAGATTTTAGCTCATGATCATGTCATCATCATAAACGTGAGCTGTTGCCAAGTACCTGAATTATGATCATGTGACTGGACAGGTGGTACACTAATTGTAATTTCGAGAATAGGTCATAGGTGATTTTTTTTCAGCACTGTCATAACTTTGAACTGCCATTAAATATTTGTAAGTTGAAGTCTACCTGCAACATAATTCAGACAGGTTCTGGCAAATTTTAGCATAATTAGGACTTTGTTTATTTTATGCAAGAAATCCTGGAAGAAACTCAAGATAGGGATTTTTCCCCCCCTTAGGTGAAAGACCTTATTTGTGTGATTACCCAGAGTGTGGGAAAGCTTTTGTTCAGAGTGGGCAACTTAAAACACATCAGCGTCTCCATACAGGAGAGAAGCCTTTTGTCTGTGCAGAAAATGGTGAGTCATGAGAAAATTGCTTTCATTCAAACTCCAGTGAATAAATATCTGAAAATAAGCCAACAAAATTTCCTAGTTTTTATCTTATTTTACTAGAACCAGGTATCCTATCTTTAGGCATGAATAGCTTGAAAAAACATGACAGCCTCTAAGCAATATAGTTTTTAAAAATCTTATTACATAAGTTGGGAAGGGGCAGATTTCAAAAATAAACTCACTTTTCTGTGTTTCTTCAGAAATCAAATTAACTGACAACAGATAAATTCCTCATGTGTTTCTGTTTGGGGGGAGTTTAGTCTAACAATATTTCTGACTGATACTTTCTTCAATTAAGGATGTATAAGCAGATTCACACATGCAAACCGCCATTGTCCCAAGCATCCATATGCAAAATTAAGACGAGAAGAACCTACAGATAGACTGAACAAAAAGCAAACTGCAGACAACAAAGCTGTTGCTGAATGGCTGGCAAAGTATGTATTTACATAAAATGCAGCATTAAGAATTGAAAGAGATTGAACAGTCATTTGTTAACTAACAGTTCTGTATTCTGTTTAACCATGGCCAGGATGCTAATAAAAGCTTCCTATTTATTACCTCAAGAGTCAGATGGGAGAGAAGAATTGCTTATACTGAAATAACTGTTTGTCAATTTGTGAACTAGTTGGCAATAATATTTCAGTATTATTTCAATATTTTAGGTTTTCTAATGCTCAATTTTATCTTTATTAACAGGTATTGGGAAATGAGAGAACAACGCACTCCTGTGTTGAAAAATAAATCTATTCATAAGCCTGACCAAGAGCAGCAAGATCCCATGGAATATCTTCAGTCTGAAGATGAGGAAGAGGAGGAAAAAAATACTGCTCATTCATCTGTTTGTAGCCGTCTTCAAGAACAACGTGAACGCTTACATGGGGCACTGGCACTCATTGAGCTTGCCAACTTGGCCGGAGCCCCACTACGACAGTAATAGAAGAACTGGAGCGTGGATTAACAAAATGTACTGAATTTTGTTATTTAAACCAATTAGCTTCTGGCATAAGCTAAGCACCTTATTGGCTTCCATACGCTGCTATTATATAGAATTTATGAAGAATGTTGTTACCCTAGAAAATGGGTAAAAGAATTGCACTTTTTATATGGTAAAGCTTTTAAAGTATTTTGTAAATAGGAGATTGTATGATGCAGTGTATAACATGATCAACTTACAGAAAGCTAGATTTGCAAGGTTAGGGTGCTTTTAATCACAGTTGCATGGAAGTAGGTCACCGCAACCAGTGATATTTGCTTCCATAAAAACAGTGTTTAAAGTTGGGGTGCCAGTCATTCTTTATTTCAGTTCTCACAGGAAGCACTTTCTAAACCTGTATGGGAATAATGGTACATACATTCAAAGCAAATTAATAGATTTTTTTTAAATTAGATGTAATCATTGATGTACCCATGCTGTTTTGAAGATATTTTATCTAATATTACTGACAGATGTTAGAATGTCTTAATTTTATGGCACAATAGATTAATTGGATAGATTTTCATTTAAAATCTTCTTTGTGACTGGTGACATGGAGGCTGACTTTGCTTTTATGGATAGATACCTTACAGTTCTTTTGGTTGAGCAGCACTTACTATTCCCATTATAAATATGGGAATATTTGCACATTGTTGGACTCTTCTATAATGGAGTGATTACTCTTGCAAATTCTAGGCATTGTAGTAACATCCAGTATGGGTTTCAGTCAGAGCTCTTAAACCCTACAACAATGGCATTTGTGTTTTGTTCATGGAGATATTTACAGGGTAGCATTGGTTTTTAAGAATATTTTAGAATTTCACTAGCAAACACTAAAAGGTTGCTTCCTGCATTTTCCCGCAGATAGGGTTTGGGGTGTTTTGTTTGTTTGTTTTTTGCGTGATGCCACCTTATTATTTTAATTGAAATTTCAATGCCAAGTTGTTTTCACTAATTGTAGCTTTCAGCTGTAGTTACAAGTGTGAGATGTTTAGGCTATTCTTTCCCTAAGTGAAGATGTAGTACAGCACTTAGTGCTTTTGATCACTTAAAGGAAAACAAAAGTTCTAGTGGTATACATTAGAAATAGTTTTAAGTAATTTATCATATGCCAGCTGTGTGCCTTGCTAACTGCCTGTATAAACAATGAATACAAGTGCATTATAGGTTAACATTTCTGTTTTTAGGAAGAATCAAGGCTTCTGGCATAAGAACATAAAATCAGTGATATTTATCAAAATAACTTTATTCAATGATCCAAGCTAGCACTAGATGGTTTTTATTCCCTAGTTCCATCTATACTTTGATATCTTAGAATTATATATTAATGTTGGCAAATGGCTATAAAACCAGAAAGTTAGTGCAAGTTTATACATTTGACATAGTTTTATTTTGGAGGTTGTTAGATTTTTCTGAAACCTTCATCCTTAAAATAAAGCACTTCAACTTTGACCTTTGGGCTACATTTAAAGTTATATTAAAGCCTTTAGAAAATCAATGTAAACTTTGATGCTTTCGCTGAATTTGATTTAGAAGTGGAGAATGGCATTTGCACTTCATGAAATCCAGTTGATGCCATTGTAGGAGTAAATTTATGATTATATTGCCCAGCTATGAAAGTAAGGCCTAGTTTGATGATGCACAAACAATTCAATATTTTATTTACACTGAATGCATATTGAAAATATGTATTTACTTAAAACACATTCTGCCTAGCTATAGGCAAGTCAAGCTGCTTTACCAATTATGTATAAAATACATCTTTGGGAGAAAAAACTCCAGATAACCATTTGTAAAAAGTTGGATTTTTAAAAAATGGAAGTTCAAGAATTCTCTGCTGTGTATGATTCAGCTGTACTTCTGGCACGAGTTAAAATGCTGTAATTCTATTAAGCTTTGAATAAAAAGTTGCCTGGATTTTACATCTGTATTCATGGTAATGTCATGAATTCTCATTGCAGTGTAGAGATCTTTGAATATGTCATAAACTCCTCCAAAATTCTTGGACAAATCCCAGCAGATACCTTTTAACAATTATTTTGATAATTTAATATTTAATAACTACTTTGATTGAAGAAAACAAATCCTTCAATTTCAATTTTCATTGTGGAAAGCTTTGGACATATATTTCAAAAAAATAAATTATAATTCACTATGCCAAATGTTGATACCATCAATATAAATTGGGATTCTGATGCTTGGTGCTTTACTGTTTTCCTAATTTCTAACTGCATTTGTGTTTTTTTTTACATTAATTACAATATAGACACTTTAGTTTTAATTGCATTTTTTTCCAAACTACAGTAAATTTGGAATTTTTATATTATGTAAATGATAAATTTACATTCAAAGTCTGAATTGATCCAGTTTTCTAATTAAGACAAGTACAGAATTTTAAATTATTTATAGCATCTATTTACATAAAACCACAAGCTACCTTAGCAAACAGGTCTTCATCATAGGAGCTATACTTTATCTCAAAACAATGTTTACGACATTTATAATTTATTCAGTGAATCATGATCATGCAAATTAAAACTATGGATTAGCAGATTAACCAATGACTCCCGTATCCCACAGCATCTGTGAAGGAATGTAAAGCTGTATTTTGTAAGGCTGTATTTTGAGAAACAGTTAAAGGGAGAAGAAAAGAGCGAGACGTTAACAGAGGACTTGTAGAAGACCAAAATAGAAGTAATAAGAAAGAAACTCCTGTCTTGATTTTGTTTGACATAAGATGGGACAGAGAAAAACTTGAGCAAGCCTTTAAGACTCTTAATACAGCCTAACAATGATGAATAAGAGGTAGCATTCCTGGAATCTCAATGGTATCTACTTTTTGGCTTGGCCTTGAAAGGTTGGCTTGACAACCTGTCAGAGGAAAATAATAATTACTATGGCAATGATCCAGATGGGAGAAGGAGCAACAAGTTTGAACTGTGGAACCAATGGGGTATCTAATGTGAAAAAATTCTGGTATTTATAACAAATGCTGAGTTTATGGGGATGCGGTCTTCACCTTTCCTAGCAGGAGTAGCTGGTAATAAGATGACCTTCCTTGTTGTGCTAATGTCATATTTGTGGTGGTGGTAGAAACTTTTGCTTTATATATAAAAAGATAGGAAATGAATATTTAAAAAAAAACTTTCTGGGTAGCTGCACTTCCAATCACCTAACTAAAAACTAATAAGGAGGTTGCTCTGGCAAAAATGCCTTTTTGCCTTTTTTCAAACAATGAATTTACTGTAAAGTGGTACATAGTAGAAAAAGTTTTCATTTTTCCATAAGAGATGGCTGCTAACAATCAACTTAGCAATTTGCTTCCACCCAGTTGATCTAGATCAGTGTTTTTCAACCTTTTTGTGCAAAGGCCCACTTTTTTCATGAAAAAAAATCACGAGGCACACCACCATTAGAAAATGTTTAAAAAA